ACCAATGGCTAACCCAATTAACACTTCAAACTTAAGTGCCTTACTTGCTTTTAGTTGCTCGCTTATAGTTGATCTTAAAATCTGTATAGCTAAGTCACGTAGCCAAACAATACATAATTAGACCCCCATTAGCCTCTGTAGAGATAACATCTGTGACTGTATGCCACTATGGTAATGGTTGCTTGAAGTTGCTTCAGGAACTAGGGGGAAGATCTTGTCCAGTCCAAACTGGTTGGAACCACTGACCCTACAAACAGGCTTGCACGAATGCCCATGAGGTAACCTTTTGACCATGAGAGTGCCAAAGGCTCCTCCCTTGGATCATGGTAACCTTACCATCTTCTGAACATGCAGCCTATGAAGAGCCATGAACCCCGACTATGCTTGTGCACACCACTGACAACCTCATTTTCCCCCAATGCAATCACCTTTCCCCATGGCTGGGACCACCTTGCTCCTCCATCCCATAAATATCCCTGAAACCCCATCTTTGAGGAAGTGGATTTGAAAGGTATTCTCCTACCTCCTTGCTTGGCTGCCTCCTGAATAAACTCTTCCCCTTTTGCAAAACCTGTTTTCACAGTGATTGGCTTGCTGTGTGTGGCTGGCTCAGCATCTATACCAGATTCCAAACTCCCCAGGGCTGGACCATGCCCAGTCCTTCACCATTGTGTGTTCATGCCCACATGGTACCCAGTATTTCATGGGATCTCAAGAAGTTATGCTGGTCTCTTGTGAGGGAGCGATTGAATGGAGATTTTGGTCCAGTATTTTCAAGGAGGCATTTGTAGAAGACATTGAACAAAAGATTATTCCCCAAGTCCCTCCAGGGTGCCCTATGATGGAATCTTGATTGAAGTCCATCACTGCCATCATCTCTTCCTCACATCTCACTCCCAATGATGTCAATGATAAAGAATAAATCTGCCCCCAAAAGTCCTTGATTGCATGGAATGAGGCACTTTTATCCTCTGTAATTTCTACCATGTTAATGCTTATAGGAAAATTACAAAAACATTCTGGTGTTTTGAGATAACTACATTTAGTCACAATCATTTCACAATGTATGCATATACCAAAACATCACACTGTACACCTTGAATATATGCAATGTTTATTTGTTAATTATACTCCAATAAAGCTGAAAATAATAACTAAAACATCCTCGCTGTTTTGAGATTTTACACCTTGATACTTGTATTAATATTTAAAGTATAATTGGGAGAAGGCACAAAACTCTGAATGTTGCTTAAAAATATAAGACACATAAAAATGGAGTTTGTGTTACAGAGAGTAATTAATAATTAGTGAGTGCCAAGAAATGTGGACTTAACTTTGCAGTGGCTGTGATGCTGCAGAAGAGAAGTAACTTTCCCCAAGCTTGCCCAGCTCCTGCATGTCAGACCAGAGCTCTTATTACAGTGAACAATGATCAAAATCAATTTCCACTCCTGGGCAACTTTTATTTTTATTTTTATTTTTATTTTATTTTATTTTTTTATTGCATTTTAGGTTTTGGGGTACATGTGAAGAACATGCAAGATTGTTGCATAGGTACACACATGGCAGTGTGATTTGCTGCCTTCCTCCCCTTCACCTGTATTTGGTATTTCTCCCCATGCTATCAGTCCCCAACTCCCCACCCCTCACTGTCCCTCCCCAATTTCCCCCAACAGACCCCAGTGTGTAGTGCTCCCCTCCATGTGTCCATGTGTTCTCATTGTTCAACACCTGCCTATGAGTGGGAACATGCGGTGTTTGATTTTCTGCTCTTGTGTCAGTTTGTTGAGAATGATGGTTTCCAGTTACATCCATGTCCCTACAAAGGACACGAACTCATCGTTTTTGATGGCTGTGTAATATTCCATGGTGTATATGTACCACATTTTCCCTGTCCAGTCTATCATTGATGGGCATTTGGGTTGGTTCCAGGTCTTTGCTCTTGTAAACTGTGCTGCAATGAACATTCGTGTGCATGTGTCCTTATAGTAGAACGATTTATAATCCTTTGGATACATACCCAGTAATGGGATTGCTGGGTCAAATGGAATTTCTATTTCTAAGTCCTTAAGGAATCGCCACACTGACTTCCACAATGGTTGAACTAATTTACACTCCCACCAAAAAGTGTTCCTATTTCTCCACATCCTCTCCAGCATCTGTTGTCTCCAGATTTTTTAATGATCGCCATTCTAACTGGCATGAGATGGTATCTCAATGTAGTTTTGATTTGCATTTCTCTAATGACCAGTGATGATGAGCATTTTTTCGTATGTTTGTTGGCCTTATGTATGTCTTCTTTTGTAAAGTGTCTGTTCATATCCTTCGCCCACTTTTGAATGGGCTTGTTTGTTTTTTTTCTTGTAGAGCTGTTTTAGTTCTTTGTAAATTCTGGATATCAGCCCTTTGCCAGATGGGTAAACTGCAAAAATTTTTTCCCATTCTGTTGGTTGCTGATTCACTCTAATGACTGTTTCTTTTACTGTGTAGAAGCTGTGGAGTTTGATTAGGTCCCATTTGTCTATTTTGGCTTTTGTTGCCAATGCTTTTGGTGTTTTGGTCATGAAGTCCTTGCCTACGCCTATGTCCTGAATGGTTTTGCCTAGATTTTCTTCCAGGGTTTTTATGGTGTTAGGTCTTATGTTTAAGTCTTTAATCCATCTGGAGTTAATTTTAGTGTAAGGTGTCAGGAAGGGGTCCAGTTTCTGCTTTCTCCACATGGCTGGCCAGTTTTCCCAACACCATTTATTAAACAGGGAATCCTTTCCCCATTGCTTGTTTTTTTCAGGTTTGTCAAAGATCAGATGGTTGTAGATATGTTGTGTTGTCTCTGAGGCCTCTGTTCTGTTCCATTGGTCTATATCTCTGTTTTGGTACCAGTACCATGCTGTTTTGATTACTGTAGACTTGTAGTATAGTTTGAAGTTCAGTAGTGTGATGCCTTCTGCTTTGTTCTTTTTGCTTAGAATTGACTTGGCTATGTGGGCTCTCTTTTGGTTCCATACAAAGTTTAAGGTGGTTTTTTCCAGTTCTGTGAAGAAGGTCATTGGTAGCTTGATGGGAATAGTGTTGAATCTGTAAATTACTTTGGGTAGTATGGCCATTTTAACGATATTGATTCTTCCTAACCATGAACATGGAATGTTTCTCCATCTGTTTGTGTCCTCTCTTATTTCGTTGAGCAGTGGTTTGTAGTTCTCCTTGAAGAGGTCATTTATGTTCCTTGTTAGTTATATTCCTAGACATTTTATTCTCTTTGTAGCAATTGTGAATGACAGTTCATTCTTGATTTGGCTCTCTTTAAGTCTGTTATTAGTGTATAGGAATGGTTCTGATTTTTGCACATTGATTTTGTATCCTGAGACTTTGCTGAAGTTGCTTACCAGTTTCAAGAGATTTGGGACTGAGACGGTGGGGTCTTCTAGATATACAATCATGTCATCTGCAAATAGAGACAATTTGACTTCCTCCTTTCCTATTTGAATACCCGTTATTTCTTTTTCTTGCCTGATTGCTCTGGCTAGAACTTCCAGTACTATTTTGTATAGGAGTGGTAAGAGAGGGCATCCTTTTCTAGTTCCCGATTTCAAAGGGAATGCTTCCAGTTTTTGCCATTCAGTATGATATTGGCTGTTGGTTTGTCGTAAATAGCTTTTATTATTTTGATATATGTTCCTTCAATACCTAGTTTATAGAGGGTTTTTAGCATAAAGGGCTGTTGAATTTTGTCAAAGGCCTTCCCTGCATCAATTGAGATAATCAAGTGGTTTTTGTCTTTGGTTCTGTTTATGTGGTGAATTACGTTTATAGATTTGCGTATGTTGAACCAGCCTTGCATCCCCGGGATGAAGCCTACTTGATCATGGTGGATAAGCTTTTTGATGTGCTGTTACAATCGGCTTGTCAGTATTTTATTGAAGATTTTTGCATCTATGTTCATCATGGATATTGGCCTGAAGTTTTCTTTTCTTGTTGAGTCTCTGCTGAGTTTTGGAATCAGGATGATGTTGGTGTCATAAAATGATTTGGGAAGGATTCCCTCTTTTTGGATTGTTTGGAATAGTTTCAGAAGGAGTGGTACCAGCTCCTCTTTGTATGTCTGGTAGAATTCAGCTGTGAACCCATCTGAGCCTGGGCTTTTTTTTTGGTTGGTAGGCTCTTAATTGCTGCCTCAACTTCAGAGCTTGTTATTGGTCTATTCAGGGTTTCGGCTTCTTCCTGGTTTAGGCTTGGGAGGAGGCAAGTGTCCAGGAATTTATCCATTTCTTCCAGGTTTATTAGTTTATGTGCATATAGTTATTTGTAATAATCTCTGATGATGGTTTGAATTTCTGTGGAATCTGTGGTGATATCCCCTTTATCATTTTTTATTGCATCAATTTGGTTATTCTCTCTTTTCTTTTTTATTAATCTGGCTAGTGGTATATTTTGTTGATCTTTTCGAAAAACCAGCTCCTGGATTTATTGATTTTTTGAAGGGTTTTTTGTGTCTCTATCTCCTTCAGTTCTGCTCTGATCTTAGCTATTTCTTGTCTTCTGCTAGACTTTGAGTTTTTTTTATCTTGCTCCTCTAGCTCTTTCAATTTTGATGCTAGGGTGTCAATTTTAGATCTCTCCTTCTTCTCATGTGGGCACTTATTGCTATATATTTTCCTCTAGAGACTGCTTTAAATGTGTCTCCTGGGCCACTTTTAACGTGCAATCCAACAGAAACGCTGTGCCTTCCTACCCTATTATTTCCAATTTAAGTAAAATATCTGCTAGGTTTTAGATTTCCAATGGACCTTGATTCCTTGGAAACAGTGGTTCTCAGTGGGAATAAGATTCATTAATTAAGTACCATTGGCTAACCTGGCATCTTCCTTCCAAGTGCCAAACTAAGAAGCATAGAGGGAGACAAACAGAGCATTGCAGCGGGAATACATGTGCCCTGGTAAACTACGCATTCAGAGAGGTAAAAAAATCAAAAAGATTTTTTTTCTTTTTTTTTTTTAATTCAGTCCCTGTAGAGACTGCCAAAAATTGCCAATGTTGACTATATTTCAAGTCGTCATGGCTGAGTATTCGGAAAAGTTTTCAATTAGCAATAATCACACCTCAAATAAACCTCACTGGCTATGATACTGCATTGTGCAAAGCTACCACAAAGATTCTTAAAGAAAAAAATGAGACAGTTTACATAATTGTTTTGAGGTAATTCTGGCTTCAAGGATCAATAACAAGGGTGGTACCAGTTAGAGGCTGGACAGGCAGTTGCTGGGCAGCTGTCTTCACAGATTCTTATCGTGTAGGCTGTAATGGTCTTTGTGCAAGGTTGTGGCTTTGCAGTCTTTTGTGGTAGTTTCTGTTATCAGGTATCCATTCATAAGAACTCTCCCTTCATGGCCTTCCCAGGCTCTATTTGTCAGGGTTTTTAAAGCAAGTGACCCCATTTTGGTTCTGTCAACTTTCACACCAGCATCCTAAATGTTTGCAGCTTACACAGCTCACAGCCTTGCCCCAACCACCCAGAGAGGTCCAGTAAGAGCAGACAGGAGGAGCAGAAGCAGTGAGGGTCTGGGAAGAGGAAGGGGCAGAGCAGAGAAGAAGCCCTAGAGAGCGGGCGGCTGTACCTCTCATCAATCCAGCACCATCGGCAGGGCCAGTGTTACCTCTCTGTTCCTCAGCCTGTAAATGAGTGGGCTGAACATGGGTCGAGGACAGTGCAGAAGATGGAGGTGTCCTGGTCTCCCACTGGGTCCCCCATAGTAGAGACCCACCACGGCCAGGTGGGAGAGATGGAGGTGTCCTGGTCTCCCAGAAGATGGAGGTGTAGAGGCCCACCACAGCCAGGTGGGAGAAGCAGGGGGTTAGGACCTTCTGCTCGGCCTGGGTGGACAACAACTTCATCACAGCCGTGAACCAGGCATGACGCCATGATGATCCCTTTTTCTTTCTTCCAAGCTGCCGGAGATTACCACTTGATTCACAGGAATAAGCAGGGTTAGCCTAAAATGTAGGCATAAAGCTTAAAGAAAATTAATGAGACTAGGATTTAATGACAAATGTGTGATAAGCTTTGAAGCACAATTTCTCTATCCAGTCCTCATTTTTGATAAAAACAAATTATGATACGAATAATTTGTTTTTTATCAAAAATGAGGACTGCAGAGAGAAATTGTGCTTCAAAGCTTATCACACATTTGTCATTAAATCCTAGTCTCATTAATTGTTTTTAAGCTTTTTGCCTACATTTTAGACTAACTCTGCTTGATTATTTGCATAAAGTGCCACAAGAATGGTTATTTCTACATAGGCCTTTTGGATTGGCTTTGACGAAACTCTGTTCCACAAGGAATCTCAAATATGACCTTTAAAGCCAAGCCCAGCCATGGATTTGTATCCTCAAATACCTGTGAGTTGGGTGATCCTCTCCTCTTGAGGTCCCCAGATAAACTCAGAGCTCCCAGACCTGTTAGAAAGTGACATTCTTCACTGACCACAGGTTAAGAACCATGTGTGGAGACTGTAGACAAGGTATGAGGCAAGTTCTCCCTAAGGGGATTTTATTGGCTCTGCATGCCAAGCTTGATTCCTTAAAGGGAAGCATACCCTTTCAGTCAAAGCCTCAGTAAAATAACCAGTTTTTCCAATTGTGTCCTATTGACAAAGAAAAATGGATTACCATTGCACTGATGCAAACAACTATATTGCAATAAGTTAAGAGTATTCACAGGTAGTCTCCAAATTCTAGAGGAACCAGCCAGAGAAAAATAAACATGCTCCAAATTTTGTTCACAGTAGTATACCTTACTCAATTACTAAAAGCCATAAATGGTTTGAAATAAGTTTCCTTGACTCTGAGAAACAAAATAAGAATCAGCAATATTCCAAGCAAAGGTTAAAAAGGTTGGCTTTAACTTTCTGAGTGTGGTCCATTTAGTTAACTCTTGTTTTGCTTGATCTTTGTGAACATGTCAGTTCTTTATGAGTCCCATACACTCGTTCTCTATTCCAATGTTATAATCTTCAAAGCTATTAAAAACATGCATTTGAGAACACCTGTTAAGTCCTTAATATAGCTTGATTATAAACCATCTTTTGAGAAGGAAAAAAGCAAGACAACAATTGTCTATGAATGACAAAATTCCAGGGTAGTTACAGTTAAAAACATGACTGACAAAGAAGTTTATTTATCTTCAGGGTTTATAACAACTTAATTATGATTGACAGTATACACATCAGAATTTTAGAAAGCTCATACAATTTTGGAATATATATTAGTATTATTCACCAAAATATAACATAAAGAAGATTGAGCATCATTTTGGAAATCTCATGTGACTAAACATGCCAAATAATCCTGTTTACCTCTTTTCTGAAGAGGCACTCTGAACCATCCAAAAAGCCAGGCATCAGGAAGGACAATTTCCAGATTGCCATAAATTATTTGGCCAAAATGATGACTCAAAAGGCAAAAACCTTTCATTACCCTTTACTATGACATGAAAATCCCTTTCAAAGCCAAATTTACCCTTACTTTAGTTTGTGAATGTTAACTCCAATTAGTTTAAATGCAACTATATAAATCATCTATCTAATCCCAACCAATTTGATCATGAGGTAAAATCTTGACAAACATTTTATAACACTTTTACTAAAGGGCAGATTAGTGTCTCATAGTCTCATTGCTATGTTTTTATTTCAATGCTCAGATTTTTGGCCTTTGAACTTTACAAAAAGTAACCTTACAGGTAAAACAAATGAGCCTTAATTAGGTTATGACTTAACTTTGAGTGTACAAAGTATTTTCAAAGGAGTGATAGACAGCTTTTTGTTGGAAATATATGCTGAGTGCCGCAAAGAAAAATTAGCAGTGGGACAAAGGATCTTTCAGTAATGCAATTTTTACTTCCTGGACGGCAGGAAGGGTATTCTGACTAGCTATCTTGCCATAAGAGTACAATAAACAAAGGAAAACACACAAATTTATACCTTGCACTTTTGAGGTTGTCCTTACTGCTATGTCTGATCTCTGTTAGCTGGAGCCAGACCTCACAATCTAAACAAAACCCACTTGGCTAACAACTTCAAACTTATCTAAACAGGTAAAAGCAATGGAGAGCTGGGACATGCCTGAGAACATGTCCAGCAGATATCTTGGTTAAAGTACAAGGACATAGAATGTACTTCATGCCTGTAAGCATGGCATGTCTAACAGCTACATAGGATAGGGCTTAACAAAGTTATTAGCACACTTATTCTTTAACAAGAAAGGAGACTTTAAAAAGGAACTTTTCTACTTCCCACATTTTGAAGCTGCCATTGCAAAATTGTGACTGAGACAGTGAAAGAGATCCAACTCAAAACAACTTGATTTTTTTTCCAGCCCGCAAGCAGTCCTTGCCCATCCCTGAGCATAGGCTGAACCAGCCTTGTGAGGAGCCTGGTTTACAGTTTTTAGTTTAAAGCAAAGGTGATAACAGCCCCTTCTTAAGATATACTTTCCTTTTGCCTGGGGAGGAGGACAAGAAACTAGCCATAAGATTAGAAACCATGGCTTAGGAGTCATGCAGCTGGAGGCTACAAGATTTTGACCCTCCCTAAACCGCTCTCAAGAACACTGCTTAAGATATTTTGTAAACCCTGCCTTTGATGGGTCAGCTAGCACCACCCAGATTGACAAACTGCCTTATCTGATTTTGTGGCCCTCACCCAGGAACTGACTTAGTAAGAAGACAGCCACCATTATCAAATGATGGAGACTAAAACAAAGTATTGCCGTGCTGTTACAGGTCATATTCCCAGGGACATGAAACAAGATGGAGGCCTGGAGCCAAGTTTGTTACTGACTATTTTATTGGGTTGGCTTGAACAGCAAGCTTATGGCCCTTGCTAAAACATTTACTTGTAGAAAAATGGTCCTGGTTAACTTCCGGTCTTAAAATCCCCTTATTAGTTAAGCCTTAAAGGAATGTAGGAACCGAGTGAGTGGCCATTTTCTTGCCAATGGGACAATATCAAGACTGAAATTTGGCTACGGAAGACATCTTACTCCTAACTGCTAAAGGCAGAAACTTCCCATTCCCAGGAGAGGCCTAGAGCCTGATTTCTACCAGGTGGTTTAGAAACACCATGTGTTCACCAGGGAAACTGTAGAGAGAGAGACATTTATTGAGTTACTGCCTGCCACGATTCACGATCTTTTCTGACAGACATGTTTCCCTGAACTGTAAAGATTCCTGCACATTAGACACACAGAGAGAGGGTAAAAAACTGCAGATAGAAAGAGAAAGAAAGTTTGGCAACAGGGTAGCTGGAAGAGAGCCTTGAGTTTAAAGAACCGATTTAAAGTTGAGGTCCACTCCATATGCACCAGTCTGTTGAGTGAATTTCATTTCCTAGCCCATGCACCAAAACGATACAGCTCCAATGAGTGGAGGAACACCAGGGCTCTTGTCTTGAGTCCAATTAGATAAAATGACACAGACACACATGGAATGGTTTTAAGGAGCGTAGAGTTTAGTAAGCAAGAAAGAAGGAAGAAAGCAGAAGGAAGACACCCGCCTCCATACAGAGACAGAGGGAGGGGGATTCCAAAGTTGAAACAGGAGACCCCAAGTGGGACAGAAACCACCCAGGTATATGTAGAGGCTGGAGGGAGGAGGTGATGTCTGATTTGCATAGGACTCAAGGAATTGGTTGGCCAGGCATGTCATTCACATAGCCTGTGAGAAAACTGGTCCTCCCACCCTAGCCTTTTATTATGCAAATGCAGGGTGCCAGGATGTCCTACACACGTGGGGAGATGTGGGCGTGGCCATGCTGCCAGGCACATGTGGGGCAAGGGCAAGAGGGCCACGGGATCACCAGGTTTGGGTGAACCCAGTTTCTAATGGCCAGCATTTGCGTATCAGTTGCTGGCCCAGTTCTAAGAGCCAGGGCTTTCCAGATAGAAAAGAAAAATTTCTGGAACTGCATTAAAAAACGAAAGCTTTGCAAAGACTTCTTTTCCTCTCTATCTGCCTAAAATAATAACTCCTACCACACCATCAGCCTCCCATAACTTTTCTCTAAGACAGCCCCACACTCCTCTTCCTTTCTGTAGCTCAGGATGCATAAGCTTCAATCATCTGACCCATCTTTGGGTCTCATGTTTTG